TTGCATTCCTCTCGAAGATTACTTGGCTCAGTGCCAGGCAGATGCAAACTCTTAAAATTACAACTAAAGCTTAAAATTCAGAGCTCCGGTGCAAACCTATTTTCTCAAGCGGAAATACAAAGTTGAACTGTAGTTTGGTGATCCTTCCTTTCATGGTGGGGCTTGGTGCCACATGGGAACTTTTGACTCAAAACATTGAGTTACTAGTAATAAATGGATCTCTGCTTGCACAAAAAACACCTGGCCTAACCTTAAGGTTATCAGATAGTGTCTGGACCATCTTTGATTCAAGTTATCGGCTAATACTGGGATTACGTTGATAAATGATGTCCCAGGTTGTTTGTTTCTGCTCATGGCAGGTGTGGATGGTACAGCTCGTTCCGAGTGCAGGACAAAAAAAAAACGGATGTTGTAATTCCAGGTTTCCTGCTGCTATACTTCTTCCATTGGGGAAGGTTTTGGAAGTAGTTGACGAAAGGACAACCTCCTTATTAGACAGACTCGGGAAATCTTCAAAATGCAGTGGTTCAAAAAGTGCTGAAAACTTTATTGGATATTTATAAAACTGCTTCAAATTTTTTTTAAATCTCGCCGAACACGGCACAAATTGTCTCTGAGATCGACTAGCTTCCCGAACGGAGTCGGTCAGGTCACAAGTTGAGTTCCGTTTCTCGTTCAGTATTGTTACTTTGCACGTAACTGTTACTGCTTTACTTTGAACTTATATAAAGTAAAGTTATTTTTTACATTCAGGTAGGGAAGTAAAACAAACTGCTGCCACGGAGACTTCCAAGAAGTATACAACTGAGTTCCCATGAAAGTTCAGGAAACGACAAGTTCGGGATTTGAACCATGAAGTTTCAGGAACTGACCTTTAAACTCGCATTATGGTAACTTTGACATGTACTATTTAGTAAATTGAAGGGAAGTACGCCTGACCATCTCTTACTTATCAATTCCATTCATTACTGTTTTATCATACCTACATGTATGAAGCCTTCCTGTCATACTGTAACTGTTACAGCAGATTACCAACTACTTACTGGTTTTTTGAAGCAATCNCAAGGGTCCATTGGTTTCTGAACGGATCAATTACTTCAGGTAGTAGTATTTTGTCGAATGATGGTGCGGAAAACTACTGGTAATCATTGCACTATAGATATAATCGATCGATATCGAGTGACATGGCGTGACCCTCAACGGAGCTCACCCAACAGCCTGGCAATGTGTGCGTGTGTTGTTATGTGGGCCGATACTGCCCCCCTCACCACCCTATGGTTCTCCGCCCCATTCAGCTAAGAAGTGAAGACAAGCCGCCCGCCACACAGAGAATGAGGAGAGAAGGAGAGAGCGCGTTGACTCTCGAGAGTTCCGCACTCTTTCCGTTGATGCTGCGAGATCGTTCTCTGTTTTTCTCCCCCTCTTCTGGCTGCTTTCAATGATGATGATTTCAGTCAGCTCGTTTTCCACACCTCATAATAACCGTCATTTTGCCTCCCGTTGATTTCAATTTTCCAAATATGTTCTTCATAAAAATGTTCCCGTTTCATATCTACTGGTTGGATCGCTTTTCGCTGTTAACCGCAGTTACCGTGTCATGCTGATTCAGAGCCAGCCTTACGAGCATTGTTGTTCAAAGCCGCAATCATACTTGAAGATCTCATTCTATAGACCAGCCCGTGCCTGGAACACAAAAGCCTACGCCCAGGCGATCGGCATATTGAAATTGTTTGGGAATTGTACTCGATTGACAGGTCCATACCCCTGATGGGAGGTTCTGGGGACAAAGGGGAGCGGTTGAAGTTCCATACAAGTCTCTTGCCTTTGAGCTTTTCCAGATGAGTCATACTTTTCTTCATTGTACTTTGCAGTAATATTTAGTAAGCAAATTATTCTCTGCAACAAATTAGCTGTATGATGAACATTCTTTTTCATTTTTATTTTATTTTATTCTTAATGGGGAGAAAATGTGAATTGAGCGAGTTCGATTTTTCTAGTTAAGTGTCTGATTTCACTTCAGGGACGAAAAAGTTCGTCTTATACCTGTTTATAGCCCTCACATTAAAGTTGAAAACGAGGTCTTAGTTATAATTGGAAGTAATTTGCCATATTGTCATGTAATTCCCGAACAGGAAAGAAAAATCGACTTAATGGACGAAAAAGTACTGGGCCCCATTCCTTCTTAATACCATTTTCTCAGCGGATCTACTTTTTACCAAGTTGTAATCCAGTGGGTCGATTGTGATCGGTCAATGCTGTCCAGATGCCTCTCGTTGTCCCGGTGAATCCTATTTGAAGTTGATTTCTGAATGAATTCTATGCAGAATCGTGGAGACCCACTTACTGGTTTTTCAATCCACCCGTAGTCTCATTATATCCACTTCGCGGAGCTTTTATCCTTCGATTTCTCGTTCACCTCCTCATCCCATCATGATGAATCTGTTCACCACGTTCATGTTCATTAAATTGGATCACCAGCGAGGGACTGGAGGACAGGCAAGTCATAGAACAGTTCAAACTGAGCGATCAGGGTCGTTATATCCCTGACGACCTCATGTCGATCTGAACCGGCAGCCAGACCCCATTCGGGCACGTTGGCCCCCGAATCTGTCTTTTATCCCTATTCATCGCGCTCTAAGACACTCACTCCGTTGATGCCCTGAAGAGTTTTATGGCTTGTTCACCTGTCACTCATAAATACAACTGAACTAGTGACATAACCAAAGGGTTGTCGTGGTAATATCACAGGCCACCGCCACCGTGACGCAGTCAACCAGACGGCCAACGAACGAACGACTTGTCGAACCGCGTTCGTTCCTACCCATCATCCCCCTTTGCCAACTCATGCAACTGACAGTCAATGCCACCCACTTACACTACGATTCACGTTATTCGCCCATGGAATGAGGCCTGGGCCTGAAAAGCCCGTGCTACTCCATATCGCACCATATTTGGGCCTCAATTTTCGCGTCATTTTGAGTGTCTGTTGCCTGTGTGTCTTCGCATTGATTGTTTCCTGTTGTGGCAGCATAGACGTAACATGTTGATTAGGTATCCATCAATGCTTTTGATGGGCCCAAGCTATCGCCAAACATAACCACCAGGCACCTCGTGGGCCGTGGGCGCCCTATTTCTCGAACCTTTCCGGGAATTCCTGTCCGGACTTCGCTTGACTCAGCCTGGGTTCCGGCCATTGACACGGCGGTCGCCGGCTTTCAGATGAGGGGGTCCACTCCACTCGAGGAAATATGAGCCGCGAGTTTTCTGCTATGTTGTTCATTTTGTGTGTGTGTGGTGGTGGTGGTGGTGAGAACGAGAGCAACAAGGTGAGGGAACGAGGGCTAAGAGCGAAAAAGAGAGGCGCGGCCGAGTCGTCGTCGGCCGAGAGGTTTCAATAAATATAAAATTACGGGGCACGAAGGCGGGGCGATGCACCGCCGCGCGTTTCACTTCGCCTTAGTCCGTTTCAATCTGCACTGATTACGAGCTTCCTGTTTCAGTGACTTCCCTCAAGGTTCGGCTGTACACCTTCGTCATCCCACCCCACAGGCGAAATCAGGGGCCCAGACTGGGTACGGGCCACCATTTTGGTGATATATCGTTTCTTTCAAAGTCTAATTCCTCTGGGTCGTGGTGGGGGAAGCTGTTACAAGGCCAAACACTCGATACCTCATATTGTTTCCGATTAGGCGGAGGCGCTATGAGTCTTCTTTGCCCCTCCCTCTTCCTGCCCCCTATTCTCTCCCCCACACATCTCTGCTGGTGGATGCCCTTGTACTTCATGCTGCAATTTGGCTTTGACAGAGAAAATTCGTTGACCAACGTCCAAAAACGATTAATCGTAGCAATATTTCGTAGGAAATTATGTAGCCCATAGTGAATGGACCTAATGACCTAGAAAACGGCTCATAAAATACCATGCCATTTTGACCAAGTCAACACGAATCATCATTTTTTCGTACAACAACCGCGGCGATGCGATATGGGTGTTTTCCTTGGATGGGGACAGAACAAAACGGTCGATGATTTGCTCTTTTGTCTTCAATGACGGCATGATTCATCCTATTCGACGCCGATCGTAACGTTCTTTCTTTCTTTCCTTCCTTTTACTTCCTTCTTTTGGCGTCAACCCCCCGTAACGATCACTAAGCATTCCCGGCGGCGGCGGAAGGCAGAATAGGGGGGACAATTCACAGAATACCATTGCTTATTGAACGACATTTCGATGGCCGACATGAGAACCCCCTTTCGACAGACCGTCGTATCTGTTTGTTCGCTTCCCACACAGTACTGGCTTTACTGGTTTATTTCTTTTGCCATAAGTTGTTATAGCTTTGAGTATCACTGACGGAACAGGAACGTTTTTTGAAACTACCGCGTCAACAACAAGCACATTTCGAACATCTGGGAATACCTGTTCGGAATAGGGACACTCTTTAAACTCCCACATCAAGCCTTCTCGTTTGCTGTCGGGCTTTTTCTGGGGGGTTGTACTGGCTTCTAAGCCTATCTTCGACCCGCTCACTTCTTTTGGGATCTTTTGGGATGGGCATCTCGAGGCAGCCCAGTCGGAAATAGGCTTAAGGCTATGTTGCTCAGAACTTGCTGGGTTTTCATGGGTGCCAAAAGGTCCGATTCGATTGACTTATTACTCCTGCATTCCCAATGAATAATATGGACGGCAAGTAGGTGTGTTTGGGTAAATTAGCGTTGACGAAATTGCTTTGTATAATGCTTTCCCACAGAAAAACTCCATCTCGAATTACCACCATTCTCCTTCGATTTCTTACCCGTCGTCTCCATTACTTCCGTCTTTTTTTTNTTTTTTTTGTGGTTGATGATTCGTTTCCGTCGCTGAAAGGCCTTCGTATTATGCCCGTCGTCACAATGGCATTTTCATTTCAGATATAGACCTTATTAGTGTTGGTACCCCTTCGTCTGGGTCGTCCGGTGGTGGCCATAACGTGTTGCGCATTGATCGCCAATGAAGTTCTGAGGGGATGTTGGCTCGGCAGCCAGCAGAATTACCGCTGTCGCCGATGGAGGGACCAAGTTTTGGATGTGCAACAGCAGTAAATGGACTGCTAGTATCATCGACAACACCCACAACACAAGCCATCACGTCATCTTCATTAACTCCTGAAGCCAGGGACGATAGCGGTGTATCAACGATGGAATCGGTTTGCAGTAAAGAATTTGACCCGAACATGGCAACGGCCAGAACATCTGTGCAGACATTATCGGATATTTTACTTTCTGAACATAATAATAACTATGCGGGTAGTGTGGACGTGGTGAAGCTGTTGCGGCTACGTTCCGTTGATGATGAGCAGAGTCAACAGTCGAATTCGTCAAGCCTCGAATCACTTTCTTCCCTGGAAAATCACCAAGGTAAACTAACTTGTATGATTCCCAGAACATTACTACTTACAAAACTCTTTCAGGCAGTCAAGATCTGGACGGCGATGGTGGCTCCGGCTCTACTTCATGCTCAGAAGACTCGTTTGAGATGTCAAGTACATGTAGTGTTCGTGATACGGATGTATCGCCTGAGGAGTTATCTCCTCGAAAAGGTCCGTCCGGCTCTGCTGCTACATGCTGCCTTCACTTGACGTCTTTGCATTATTTATTACCCTTAGAATGGATGGATGGGGGGAAAAACCTCGTGGAAATGAGAATGATGACTCGATTTCAGAAGCAAGTCATGCCCAACAACAAACGGCCACCACCTCAAGTAATCGGGAATCACGGGAGACCACATGCGAGTCATTCAGCTCAGCAGGTGCAAAAAAAAAGTCTTCAGTGAAACGCCTCATTTGTCATTCTGTCTGACAGAAAATGCTTTACCAATTATTGTTGTGACATATTTGTTTGTGTTTAGACAGCGAACCAAACAATTCTACCGCCTCAGCCAAAACTTTGTTGTATGATAAGGAATCATCACTCAGGTACAGTTACTTATTTGTATTACTACTTTGTAATTAAGTCACGTGTTTTTCTATATAATCTAAGCCTTCACTGGCTTACCGGAATTCTTTTCGTTTCCCGTTTCAAAGCCACTTTTGAGGAGCCAGGTCTTTACGGTCCGAGGCTCACGCTTAACCCCTCAATCGCTGCGGCGGGGCTCTTCCTCAAATGCAAACTAATTAGCATTGCTTGGATTTATGAAAATAGATTTACCGGGGGACCAGGGGAGGGGGGACTACCACTATGAACTCAAAATTATCGTTTCCTTTTCCTTGACCAGTGGAGGGATGGTGTACTTTAGCTGATTTCGGTCCGAGATTTTTCAAGTAGGCGTAGTCAATGCAAATATCTCGAATTGCCGTCTATTTTCGGTCGCTATAAGAAGTTTGTCGGGGGGAATTCCCAGAAACTCTCAGGGCAGATTCAATATATGGAAACTCACGTAATCTTTACCAGTAATGAAAGTGAGTAATAGGGTAAAGTTCTAAGATCGGAAATGACGGGTGTTAAGTAAGCGGATTTCGAAAGTGCCGAAGTTATAAAAACTGAGTCCCTGAAAAAACGCTCGATTCTTTAGACTTCCTTATTGGAAATGGATTATTTTCTAAGTTTTCCGATAGAAAGGAAGAATATATGACAAATGTATGAAAATATTGTTAAAATAAGTCTCTTGTGCTGAGAAGAGTTCCTTGAACATGCAAGATTACACTTGAGCTTTTTCAACACTGAGTACGAATGTAAAATGTTCACTTCCACATGCTCGAAAGCGCTTACTTGTAACTCTAGTTATATATTTACATTTTGTTTACCTTG